ATACAAATTAGTTTCCATTTGTCGATTTGGTTAAGCAGTAGTCACATGGTTGACTGTATTCATCTACTGTCTTATGAAATCTGACTGTTTTGTGTGGATCATTACCGACATCACATAGATTTCATGATATTTGAAATGCGCATCTGACCTCTCTAAATGCCCAAGCATATCCTGCTAGTTTCATTTAAGGTTCTTGTTTATTACCAAACGACATGCACCAATTAACACGGGTGGCCTACAAGCTACATCAGATAAGAGCATCTGGCAAACGACTGACCATTAATTCACAGATTTATATGCTGCTTAAAGAGCTCTGGACCCCCCCCCCCCAAATCTATGTGGTGTTTAGAATCCTCCTAATATTCCTGCATATCATTCGCTAAATTCAACACCAACCAGAGGGTCAGTGAACAGACTTGAAGCTGCTGGCCACATTGCAATCCTGTCTAAGGTTTTATCCATTACTACATGTAAATTGACTGTGGACCCCATAGCCCAGGTTCATATAGGTGTATGATCATTCAGTTGTGGCGTGACAGGTGTGAAAAAGTCACATTCCTACCAGCTTTTTTTGTGATTCTGATTGGTCCATGTAAGTGTCACGCAGCAACATTATCCAATGAGGGCAGCCATTTATACACAAGTCCTGCCTCTCATTGGACTCCACACGCTACTGCTGCTAACTGGGCTTTCCTGACCCTACCGCACAACCACCCCCCCCCCAAGCCGCTGACTGACAGGCCAAAATCGTCCATCAACGGTTACAGCCCGCCCGCAGAGAAGCCCAGCATTCCTTAAAATAACACACTTCTTTGATGTTCCTCAGTACGAGCCTGATTGTCACCTCCCGACCCACACTGCCAGTGACAGGTGGGCCCAACCATGACCTTGCTTCACTCTCTTTGAGATGCGGCTCAGATCATTAGTGTGCCCATGAATAAGCGAGTTCACCGTTATGATGCGGTGAAAATTATGGGATGGATGAACCACATGACGTGCGTCCGTGAATGCCAGGACGACTTCCGCACCAGGCCCCGGAATTCCCACTGCAAGTCCACACAATCTCAGATCATTTAAAGCCTAGTTTGAAACGTATCTCACAAGCAATCCTTCATCTCACTGGATGTATCTTTGGATGGACACTGGTGGACCAATGACAGCGGAAGAGACAGAGACAGTAAATAAAATGGCTGTAAAACACGACTCTGGTCACTCAGCTGGACCTTTACAATCTACCTTTCCCTTCATGAACTCCTTCGAAGGACGGCTATAATGGTCCCCAGTCAATGTTAATTGCCGCACTTCTGCTACATTCATTCATCGTGGATCTCCGCGCCGTTAAACTCCATCGTCCTGACATTTAGCCCACCCCGTGCACATCGGTTCTCACACGGCTCGTAACGAGGGATGTATAAAAGGGCAGCTGGAGAGCTTCAGCCCTGCTGAGTGGTGTCCATCACCGGGGGGGGGGGGGCATCTGGAGCTCCCCACCCAAAGGGTGAACTCAGCCACTTGACTGCAAGGCCACCGAATTGTATGTGAAATGGATCTGAAGATGTACTGACATTATCAGGGAAAACGAGCTCAAGTTTGGAAGAGGTAAGACAGAATAAAATACCATTAAGAATACCATAGTAAAAGTCCCAAGAAAGGCAGTCGACATGATTTTCCCACATAGAAAACAAATCAAGGAAGGCTACGCCGCTAGCGACATTAATAAATACTCTGCACCGGGCGCAATTATCACAAGCAAAGGTAGAAGAAAGCGACACAGATTAGATTTCTCCTCCAATGTGTTCTGTCTCCGCTGTGCGCATCTGATTGGTACACAGATTTCTGCAGCAATATTTGTCCCAAGTGATAATATGAGGAGAGCTCCACTTCTACTGGAAGCAATTTTACTGCGAGAGTTTTATGGCTCTGTTGGTAGGTGGGAGCTTTTCTAATACTCGAGCCTCTTTCCCAGAATGCCTCTGAACACTTGAAGCAAAAGGCACAGGTGTCATTTGGCTCAAGGAGATTGATAGCTAATCTAGGCTGGAAACAGACAGTCGAGGTCCTATGATTCGAAACACAAGCTTATGGCTCCCAACAGCACTGAGAAGAGCCGATGCATCTAAAGGGCCCACAGGCCGCACCGATGATAAATCGCAAGGGAAAACCTGACAGCTGTGATTTGCCCCATGTTTCGAGAAAGATGATATGAGTTTGTTAGTGGGCATGAGTGGGGTTTCTGCCGAAGCGGAGGCCAAATGCTAAAAGCTAAAGGGAGACATGATGGAAAAGTAGAATCTATCCACTCTCAGATCACAATAAGTAATTGTTGAGAAATACCCACAATGCACTTGTCAGGATGTTTACAATGTCATCAATCTTATTCATACAATATATAATTCAGTCCAAAACTGAAAATGTGCGGCACACAGGCAGTATTTAATCGGCCGCTAGCAGAACCTTGAGGAACATGGGCTGGCTTCGGGACGCACCCCCATCAAACGCTGACATCCCAAAAATGCTGGACAGCATCTGCCCCTTCTCATATCCAGCGAACAGAAAGTGCTCGCTATGCAAATGACTGCGTGGCGGCGAATGAACTTTGAGTACTTATGTTTGTTACGCAGCCCCAGTGGGACTGGCCTGTCTGCGGCTGCCGTGGATCTCGGGGACGTGAGAGGACTCGCAACGCCAGAACAATCGCGGCTAATTATGCGCCATCAGTTACAGTAAGTGTGCTTGTTACGGCTCTTGGGACAACTCGCTACAGCGCAAGTCTCCCCTACTAAGAGGGGATGAGGAACGGACAGCACGTTAGCTGGCCTAGATATCTATTAAAATTGTACCACGCGACAGGCTACAGAACGGAGCACCGGACAGCTTGAGATAAGTTTATTACACTAAAATGTGGCAGAAACACGGACCGAGGCACCTTTAAAATGTACTGAAAAACTAACGACAAAACCCTTAAAAATTCAAGACGCACCACTAAGGCAATGAGTCGGAACCTTGTTAACCCCGCGCTACTCCATAGCGGTATGCTTCCTGTTATTTAACTCTCTCCTATTTTTACCCCGTCTAGACCCTAATGAGCTCTGCAGCATAACTACGCTCAGCTCGGCGTCATTAGCCACAGCACTCGTTGGCTGGCTATCAACAGCCAACCCACATCAGGTTAACCTAGATCCCCATCATCTGACTGCTGTCAGCCAATTAAAAAATAAAGAAATAAACAGACAAAGGGGTTATTTAGTTTGCGAGACGTTCACCCTCTACTGTTTCCCAGCACCACGGCACAAATTCCGCAAGGCACTATCTCCCAATGAACTGTTGGGATTTCGCCTAACTCACTGTGTCTCTCCCATTAGCCTGAGCAAGTCCTCATGATAGATATTATTTGAACAGAGCGTTTTTCATGGCTGGCACCCGCGTCAGCCGACACGCAGTTAATTTCATTCCCTTCCGTCCCCGCTGGCTCCGAGGTGCTTTGTTCTCATTGGGAGCGAGCACCTCCATTCCTGCCAAAACAGAAACACGAGAGAGACGGGTCTGCAAGCCAACTGCGAAAGTCAGCGTTTCGAACGCAGTTGTAAACAGCAGCGCCGGGAGGGGGGACCCGTGCTGAGAGGCTTGACTCCCCAGGGGGGTGGGTTTGCCTGGGCTTGTTTTATGAGGGTACGGTCACTTTCGGGGGGTCCACCTTGCACTGACCTTCTCCTTCTGCTGTGTTTTCCCGTTTTTGAGTAGCAACAAAAACAAGCTGGATTTAAGGGTACAGGGGATCAGTAAAAGGTACAGGGGAGTGAGGCAAGAATGTGTGGACAACTCAGTCTCTCTTATTTATAAATCCAGCTCTTGGCTGGCGTACAGAATCCATTCCACAAACCCAAACACAAGTGAAATTTCACGTAACTCGGATTTACCTTCACATACTCTTTAAAACATTTATAGCAAAAAACAGATAATATTCTAATAATATCATTTGAGCAAGTCCTGATTTACTTTAGCCAGTTTTACGTAAGTCCGGCACTCCCTCTGTTGTGCTGTTACCGAAGTCCTCCTTTTCATACGGAGGATTTCCAAAATCAGATCTTGAGGGTCTTGCACGCAGATGATTAATTGACTCAGGTTACTTGGTTACTTCTGCATACGGTGGACGACTTAATGCAACGGAAACGCCAGCGCGGAATTCCTCAGATTACTCAGGGACACAAAAACAGCGTGATGGAGTGAGACCCAGCTCTGCCCGTTAGGAGTGAAGGGCATGAGCCTTGAGTAGCTGGACAAGAGGCACCTCTGCCATGCGACAGTTCTGTCCCTGCGCCAAAGAGAATGGCAGGTCAGTCACGTGTCCATGTGCATGTCATCCCAAGCCTTCACCCCCCCTCACAACTAGTCAGCTGACTCAGTGTGTGCTGGAAATTGGACTTGGGTTTTGGCATAAGCTTATCTAGCTAAGAAATACATAAAACTTGGGGGTGGTGTCTGGCTCAGCAGGCCACCACGCGGTGTCTGCGATTGGAAAGTTGCTGGTTCAGATCCCAGCGTCGGCAGAGTGATTTAACAGTTGGGCCTCTGGGCAAGATCCTTAACCCCCTAATCGCTCCAGCGATTGTCTGACCCTGTTTTCTCATTTGTACGTCGCTCTGGATACAAACGTCTGCTAAATAAATTAAATGTAAATACCCTCCCCAGGACTGGAGCAGATGGCAGGGGGCACAGAGGCACAATATATCCCAGTAACACACGACCAGCACGCATTTGTACAGCTTGGGCAGCCCAGGGGGAATTAGCTTTTTAAAAACAGCGACCTGTTACAGAAACCGACATTGAAGATCTGCACTGCGACAAAACATAAGATAAAATCAGTGCGTTTGTCTAGCCTCACTGGCCTTTCTGGCCATCTGGTAAACCACAGAGAATGTGGATGTGCTACACCCCCCCCAGGCTGGGGGAGGGGGTGCTAAGGACATTAAAGGCAGAGCCGGATGTAAACGGGGCCTGACCTGTGCAGTGGCTGCAGTCTCTCGTCTGGTGCGTCCCCGGGAGATCCAGCGTGGCACTGTGGACTGTCCTCGACGGTCCCCTGCCAGGAAGACACAAACATCAGGGTTAGAAATCAGGAGGGTGGGTGGTGTCAGTGGGGCTGGAACTGCCTGGATAACATCAAACATGGATGAGGGGAGGGCCATGGGGGGGGGTATTAAATCACGTCCATTTCTCTTTGTTTAGAAAAACCTTTTGTCTTAAAAATGTGGATATAATTCAGGCTTTTGTTAATAAACTTTATTCGCTTTGCATTAGGTTATTTGTAGGTAATATTTATCGTGATTGTCCCTCGCTGCATTCTTAATGATGCACCAGAAGTGCCCCCCCCCCCCCCGGTTCCACGGCCCGTGTCGTCAAGGAAACAGCGGGGAGGTTTCAGACTGGAACTTTTGGACAAACTTATGATGGCTACAATCAGACGCATTTCATTTTATGCCATTAGCCTCCAACTTGCATCCAACAGATTTATGAATGCAGAGCAGGCGGCCAACCAAAACGCGCTCTGTGTTACGGTCTGACTGGGCAAACGCGGCGTGAGACAATTTATACTATATATGGAAGTGATTTCTATGGGCTGCCTATTACACCATCAAATGAGACGGTGTGGAACTGCGATGTCGAACCGAGAACCGGAAAGCATGGAAACGTAATGGCAGTGTTTTCTTAGATAATTACCACTATTGTTGACAAATTGCCCATCGGCTCAGACTAGACAGAAATAAATCGTTGAGAAGCGATGAAACAACGCCTGGAAATATATACGCCAAGTTCTGAAGAAAGAGTAATCTGATTCCATTAAACCTGCCACGCACAGATTGTGCTTTCATATTAACGAAAATTTATCAAATTAAACAAATACACCGCATTTTAATGCCAAAAGCCACTTTTCTGCTTTGTTGACCACGAATTAAATGAGTGGGGACCATTTTCTTTCCAGCCTGTTCGCCGATATTATTTGTTTCCCCCCCCTTTTAAAGCATTCCGAAGCTGACATAGCATGGGCCTGAACAGGCTAGAACATTTAACTTGCAAACTGTGTAGCAACTAACCAATTTCAGTTTTGTTTTAATTGGGGCAACAACTGGGCCACATAGGAAAAAGTAAAGCAGCGTTTGTCGAGAAGGCAGTAAATGTAACCCTCACAAGTCAAACAATATCTGCATCACAAAAACAGCTGATATGTGGGTCCCAATCATTAATTTCCTTGCCTTAAATTTATAGCCAGGAGAATAATTAATCATCACTTTATCTAAATTGGCTCATCTAATTTCACCAGCTGGATATTTACTGGAGAAATTAAGATTAAGTCCACAGCTCACGGGTACAGCAGCGAAGGTGAGTGTGCAGACTCTCCCCAGGGGAGGGGCCACAGGGGCACTGGCGCCAGCTGAAAGCCGATTGGCTGCCAGAGTGCTCCCTCCACTGTCACTCACCAATTCAAAAACAAATCATTGGCTAATAATAAGATTGCCTGATCTTTGGCCTCTCATATGCTCCCCACCTTAAAAAATTCCTTGAATTCTGCTTGACATACCAACATATTCTCTCCCAGCCAAACAAGCCACACCCCAGAGCAGACCAGCACATGCTCTAGTTGGCAAAGAAACAGCCCCCGTGGTCACTGGGCTGGGTTCTGGGCTGGTAATCGCTGGTACCGCACCACCACTCTGGGTCCATCAGCGCCGGCGCTGGGGGAATCACTGATGCAGGTACGACATCACAGCGACAGCTGGCCAGCACTGCGAAAGCCCCGTTCACCCAGTACGAAATTGAGTCTGACAGAGTTATCTCAGTGGACCAGGATGCCAAACCCCCCCCCCCCCCCCCCACCCCCCCCCCCCCCCCCCCCCCCCCCCGCCAATACCACCACCATCCCCTTCACCACCAGCCCCCCATCCCCTCTAAGGCAATAGAGCTGCCATTTCCACCCCACAATTCGCCCCCCAACACCTTACACCTTAAATTACTGGAGCTACTTCGGTGCGAATCTTTCCAGAAAATGAGACTCACAAAAAGAAAAAACACACGTTATTCCTTCAGGTAAATTAACCAGAAGAGTAAATGTTAAAATCATATTAAAGTAACTTAGAGATTTTTCATTTAGGGGGTGTGTGGGTGTGACCCAGTCTAGACCATTTCAACTGGGGGGGCCAGACTGGGGCCAAATGTTTGTTAGGGGGGCCAGATGCATTTCACCTTAATGGCCTCTAGGAACCGAGGTTATTAATGCAATGCTTTGCAGTCACATTTTACAGTTTTTACAGATATGTAACTCACTCTGATTTCTTCTTTACACTGTCTTGCTTCCACAAGCTTGATTATTTTTCCTGTTATTAACTTTACTTTTCACCAACTGGAGCGACTCGATCACCCAGCACCGACATAAGAACATAAGAACTATACAAACGAGAGGAGGCCATTCGGCCCATCAAGCTCGTTTGGGGAGAACTTAACTAATAGCTCAGAGTTGTTAAAATCTTATCTAGCTCTGATTTAAAGGAACCCATGGTTTTAGCTTCCACTACACTAGCAGGAAGACTATTCCACACTCTAACTACACGCTGTGTAAAGAAGTGCTTCCTCAAATTTTTTTAAAATGTTCTCCCGCTAATTTCCATTTATGGCCATGAGTTCTAGTATTTAGACTAATACTGAAATAGTCATTTGGCTGAACAGCATCACATCACGAGCCCGTCAAGAAAATATACTTACGTTTGTGTTTCGCCTGATCCGAGCTCACAAAATTTTAGCTCACATATATAATAATAGTAATAATAATAATACATTTATTTCAGACCCAAGTAACATATGTATTTAGGGGGGTCAGGGGGCCAGGCATGATGTCACCCCCACCCCTGGGGTTTTACGGAAGGTGTCATTGTGTCCCAAACATGTCAGAGTTTGGATGACCTCACCCTAACCCCTCCCCCCCCACTCCCCCAAACTGCGCCTGCCTCTGGTTGGCTTCCTAACCATTCAAATGACTTAATTAAGCAGAAGAGTAAATGGTAAATCATTTTAAAGGAACATATAGATTTTTCATTGAGGTGGGAACGTGTGGGGGGGGTGACCTTTCTTATTCTTTGGAGAGCGTCAGGGTTGCCCATAGATTCCCAGGTTTGGTTGAATCCCTAACACCACCCCCCCCACCCCCCACCGGCTCCCTGCATTGGGCTGTGTGCCTAAGCACTCGAACGGCCTGCATTGCTAATTACCAAGCCGCCGAGTGAAGCTCGCGCGGAAAAAAAAGAAGGGAAAAAAAAGCTCTGCATAAAGGGCGTAATTAACATGTCACATTTTGCAGAAGGGAAAGGACAAGTTAATGTAGTGCTAGACGACGGGAATGGCAGGGTCCACTCCCACCCTGGCCACCGCGCTTCAGTCGTCAGCTGATCAAAGGCAAAACGCGACCGTGGGCTGAAAAGGAGCAGCAGGGTCAAAGAATGACTGCGGTTAACGCTCGGGGAAAAACGGAGGGATCACGGCCATCAGAAACCTCTTTGATGAAGAATTTTTTACGTAATATACTATCGCTGTCACCATCTCTTTAATGTGCGCAGAAACGATGTTTAACTCCCGCTAAACTGTTTAATAAGCCATGCCCTTCTTAGCTAAAATTCAGAAGTACGAATAGGCGGATTTGGAAGCCGTGGGCCCCTGTGGACGGTCTTACGGGAAACTGTCTCCCCGCTGCGTTATCGCGGCCTCCTGCTGTCCAGACTCCTCGTTCTGAAACAGGAATCTGAAGAGGGCCGGCCAGGTGGAGATGGAGATTTGGAGGCATCTCGCAGAGCTAAGCTCCTTTCACGCCCGGCCTTGGCCCAAGGTGAGCCCTCCGCCGCGTTAATGAATGAAAGTGCGAGATCGAAATGACAGCCGGGCCGTGATCCCATTTTGATTGGCCTGTGATCTTAAGGTGAGGTCCCCACTGAGCCAATTAACACCCACTATACAGACACATGGCACGGAGCGGATGCCCATCCCTATCTCAGCTCGAACGTCCAGTGAGTCTCGCTGGAGACGGCTATTATTTCCTATAAGATCTCCAGTCAGGTAGGAGTGGAATTCTCGTCCGTGTGAGGCTGGCTTAAGGCGTGTGGCTGGAAACGCCAATGAATAAAGAAGAAAAACAAAGACAATACAAAGACACCCAAAAGCAACTTACAGACCTTGGACTCTTGTGCTTTTGATACCTATATAATGGAACCACCTGAATCACGGCAACTCAAATGGACTCCATCTTGACATGGCGCTGTTAGAAATAAAGTCCCTCTGAGCTGATTTAGCGTACTGTCGTGTGACAAAGGGCACGCCGGATCGATACATGGCCCGTCAATGTGAGCCGGAGCAGTTTTTTCACCATTAATCGAGTGCCAAGGCTCTTTCTACTCAAGGCCGCTACATTGATCCCAGATGGAGATTAAATCAAAGTCGGTTTCTGTTCCCAACTCTGCCGGCCACGATTACTGTGGCGAGCTCCTCGTCTCGCATTTCTGGGAACCTGCTGGCATTGGTGGTTTTCGCCGGTCTGACGTACAGGCGAGCCGATGCTCAGAGCTTTAAGAGGCCTCTACAGTGTGTGCAGCCCCATGTCAGAGGTGTTTATTAATAAGCATGGAAAAAAATAAACATTGTAGGCTGTTTTAACTAATATCGTACACCAGGTACATCAGGTTACTGCATATTTGGAATGAATTTCTACAAGAAATTTCTACATTTTTCTACAAGAAACTATACACAGGGATAATATGCTGCATTAGATGGTATTTCTCCAGCTCAGCCGACAGCCCTTCACCTGTAAGCAGTCTATGCAGATACAGCCCTTCACCAGTAAGCAGTCCATGCAGATACAGCCAGCGTGGCTTTCAGGCAATTCCACATCACGTCTTTTTCCTCTTCCTGGGTGTCTGCACGGGATGAGATTCCCAGAGCACTCTGAAGGCAGGAGAGCTCAAAGCCTTGTTCTCCCTGCTGACTGTATTGATTTATTCATCCTGTAGGGATGGAGCGGAGCGAAGGGTCTCCTGAAACGAGGGC